ATACTATAAATAGCGGTACAATACTCTTCCCAGACGATGACAAAAATGCGAACCCACGAGGAAAAACAACAGCTGCATGTTTTCAAGCCAGATGACTTGTGCGTCACGAATGCATGTTAGATCCTCATGTGTTCCGCTACTGTAGCGGCTGGCGCATTGCCACCAGCTGTGCAATATTATGTGATGCAATATTTCGCCATGAATTTTCTATGGGTTGCGAATTTCGGTTATCATTCAACCTTCTATCCATAGCAACCTAAACGTATAGTGCTGTAATGTTGTACTCAATTTGGAAACTTTTTATTTTTAATTAGAATTTCCCTTTAATCTCTGCCACAACAAAATGTGGAAAAGTACGATGTTCCTCTCATAATTGACGATAATATCGCAATTTAATCTTCTTTTGTAGATATCTACGCGATTTTCAGGGAATAACATCTCCCTCGAAGCTATTGGGTTTAATCCTCGACGCTTGATTTCGTTTTGTTGCAAACTCTAAATTAGCATTTTTCTTTTTGATTTCTCTCTTAAATTTATTGTTTGCAACAAACGAAATGTCGGGGAAAGGAGAATGCAGCGCATGGGGTGGGAAAACGGCTTGGGGACGACAGGAAGAGGTTTAGTCGTTTGACTTACTTTTTGTAGAGTGTAATATGTAATACCTAGGAATGTTCCTTTAAGGACTGTGAGCCAATTGTTTCATTTGTGGAAATAATGAGTGAGGAATTGGCAGATTCGTTGAATGAAGAGGAACGGAAAAAGGAGGAGGAATTCTTGAATGCTGTTGTACAGAGTGAAACCGCACCGGTAAGAGATTACTAGATTACAAAATTGTGTAGATTTTCATTTACGATTTGGTTATGAAGACCTGACTATAACAAGATGGAACTGTTTCAATCACATATTAGCTGCTCACTGATAAAGTTAGCGCAGTTTAGCTCCCTATAGCTTATTAGAGAAAGAGTACGAAATGATACAAAACTTGTGACTGTGATGTGTAGAAAACTCTCATTAACTTAGTAGAAGACGGGTCTGTCTTCAGCTAAGCCTTTTGTACATAGGGAGAAGTGGATTTGCATTAGAACGGTGTGGTAGGTGTGAAATCATTGGCTGGATCTATCGCATTTTTGTTTGTAGACCGCTAGTTGAATTCATTTTTGAGCACTCCTTCTTGACGTGTGTCCTATAAAATCGTGCAAGAATTTGAAGCTTTTGTTCCAAAGACAGTGTTCAGGTGACATTTTTGATAGCATCTTTTTCCCTGCTTCTATTTTATTTTACCTTCAACGTTCTCAATACGGATCGTTTTCTAATAGTTTTTCTAATAGTTATCAATCTCACTATCACGTACACTCTTCGGGATAGTTGGTTCTGATGACTCTGTTATATGGTAAAAT